CCGGTGTGGTGAGCGCAGACAAGACAAGTTCAGCAGTGAAGCGAGAACGGTCTTTGGTACGTGCGCAGTGTTCGCTCCGCTTTGTTCCAAAGAGTGGGGGCTGACAACTTCAGTGTCTCCCCACATGTGAGCAGAAAGTGGGGACGACGACGCAAAGCGAGACATCGTCGGAGTAGTTTGCTTACTTTCGAGCGAGGGGGACGGCCCTCCTATCCCGCCGATCCTACCGCCAATGCTCATAGTCGTCGTATGATAACGTAAGATGCCTGGGTGGTGGCTCGCCTAAACTTAGTCCGCCGTAACTTGGCGTAAGGGTAGCAATAAGCATAGGACGGTTGGGGTGTTGCATCGGGATTCTAAAGTCCGGAGCTGGCAAAAGAGGATCTTTCGTCTCTGATGAGGTCTCGCCAATTGCTTTAACAAACTGGCGTGTTGTAGACGGGGTGAGATCGTGACGGATCCAAACGTCGGAGCGCGCTGGTTTGAACTAGGTGGACTGAGAGATGCATCTAGTAGACCAGCAGTCCAAGAACTCCATCCTCCTTTCGCATTATCTTCAGCGCCATGTCTCTAGACTCGTGAGTATCTGTAAAAGGTGGGACATCATGCATGGCACGTTTAAGAACCTCAAGACCCTGTTGCAACATCCTCCCAACTTCCTTCCGAAGCTCGCTACTGCTTTCCGAACCGCATCATCCGTCTCCATCTCGCCACACTAGTCGCTGTCTATCAACCCGGACGGATAACACCATCTCCAAACCTTTGCAATTAGCCATACATCGATGATTTGGATTTCTAATCTGATACATGCATCTTCCGTGTAGTCGACTACACAGGCGAACGCGGTGACTGGACGTTCATGAGTACGCCGGGATGATGAAAAGGAGGAAGGTGTTGAGGAGGTGAGTGTGCACTTGAGATGTTTGAGAGCCAAAGAACAGTCGTGGAGGGCGTGTTGGAGGGTATCGTATCTATATTTCACCTCGTTCAAGGAGCGGAGGTGAGATGTGATGCGGAGGCATGTCGGCTGAGGATTCGAGAGTTTGAGTACTTGGAGAAGAGGGTTTGTGGGTGGTGTGGAGTCGTCATGCTGAGAACTAGTAGTAAGAGAATCTTCAGTTGGTTTGTGTGCAATCAGTATTTAGTATAGACGGCAATGGGACGTCTACGCATTCCCTTGATGGGGTGTTGGAGGGGAAGTATGCAGCATAGGCTGGGGCTCGAGTACAGATATGGTTGGTGATTCCGCCTGCTTCGGAGAGGGCAGCCGACCTGCAGCGAACAAAGACGGGGGCACCAGACATCGGTCGCCCTGAACGATGGATTCTGCCTGCCTGGCAGGTTGTCTGGGAGCATCTGGTATACTTAGAGGGGTACCATCTACAGCACTACGGTAAACATTCACGGCCAAAGCACGACAAAACTGGCTTACATGCACCTTGAACGGGTTATCGTTCTTAATTTCCTTCGAGGTGCGTAATGTAGGTACTACACACCTCGTCGTCGCTCGGTGGCGGATTGTTCGACAATGCACGACGGCCACGGTGTTCGCGTCTCGGAGGCTTCATTCTGCTCGGTATTCGAACTCAGCAGCCGAGGTGCTCCAGTGGCCCGCAAAACACATGCTGGGGGTTTCCTCACCCTAAATAAACCTACTGAGGCCGAGCCCAATTGAACAGACTTCAAAGATGAGCATGAAGAGGAAGCTAGAAGAAGATATGACAGGTGAGCCTACTGTGGCACTACCCAATCTTTCCGAAACGAACATCGTGCATGCGTCTCATTATTATTGTCATGTACAGTGTTGCCGGAAGATGTGCGTGTCGAGAAGAAACAAGCTATCTGCCCCAACTCTCTGGAGGATAGCGGAGTAAACACTGCGCACATGCCGACGACTGCCCTCGCTTCACTGCTGGACTTGTCTGCACTCACCACACGGGAGGATATTTCTTCTCGGTTTGGCGCGATTGCCCATGAGCTCCTCTGCAACTACGTCCTTACCATCGTGCGCAATGGCGTCTACAGTAACTACGAGATTCTCGAGGTGGAGTTCTATCTGCAAAAGTCTGGGTGTCATGAAGATCCTTTCACGCATGGAAGCTTCGAGCAGGAGAAAAGCGGCCAATGGTAACGTGAAACAGTGGCAAAATTTACCTGGAGGTCGTGATGTGTACTCAGAAACGTCGGAACAGGTATTTTCATCGCACCCCTTGTCGTGCCGATGGGACGTCGTCCGGCCTCCAGGTCAGAGCGGCTGGGGGCTATAGAGGTGGTACTCGCAAGGGCCTGGACCTCACACTAGGCCCATCATCTTTTAATACTGAACGGTCACGCATCGTCACTATACGCGGAGGCGCACTTTTTCGTACCCTTCGACGATACCCTGAGCAGAAGATCATATGCGGTCCTTCCCTTCTTGTCGACGAGGTTCTTCGTGCCAGTGGAGTTTCGTCCATTTCTGACTTGGTCACTGATGTATGGAACAATGATATTAAGGCTCTCGGCGCCCCTGCACACCTACGATCCACTTATATGTATCTTCGACCTCGTGGAAAGAGTCCAGTTCCGCCATCGAAGACCCTGCAAATAGTGTACAACTCTCCTCGCATTGGTCTCGACCTGTCTTCCCCAGAAACGAAAGTTTCCCTTGAGCACCCACGCGTGGTCTTCGTCGGTGCGCCGTACCGATACTTCACACACCCGGAGCTTCTCTCAACGAAGGGTCGTCTTCAAACCTTCTGCGGTTTGTACATGGCACTGCGAGAATCCAACCAATACTCCCATGATTCTGCTAAGCTGAAGCAGGAGCTGTGCAGGTTAATGGGGCTCAAGGAGGCCAGTGTCGCCAAGCTTCTCAGTGACTTCCGAGCGGGTTACGAGACAGGAATGCTGAAGTCCTTTGTAGGTGTAGCGGGTAAGGGAGTGTGTCGATCGTCGGCGGCATACCTGAAGATGATAGGTACTTTGCAGAGAGCCAAGGAGCAGGCGTCAGCGTCTTAAAGGTAGCTTTTCCAGTGTATCATATTTCTGGGTATCCCTGGTTTGCAACCAGCCGTCGCTCACAGATATTCAAAGTGTGGTTGGTGATCCTCACCTACAACGACAGTCCACTTAGTACCACCTTTTCCAAACCAGCGACGGGGGGAGCCTCGAAACCTCATGGCCTGACCAACCCAGGGAATCTGGTAGAGGAAAACATCGCTGCGTTCCTCAGGATGAGCTAGCAAACTCTGGCCGGGCAATGACTACCAAGCTTCCCAAGACAGGGTCCTCTGATCTCTAACTGGATACCGTAATCGGTGCACAGTCAGCGCAGCGAACAATACGACAAGGCTTGCAGTGCGTACATCGGATTTCCCAAAAATCAAGGGACACCTTCCGTGACAGGGAGAATTTGGTACCGCACTTGAACTCCAATAGATCTAACGCCGCTGCTGCCACCCCAACCCATTCGACCGACGTTCATTTGGAAACGGTGTATAAAAGAGTGCGAATCAAGCGCGTCTCACCTCCCTTCAGGACAACTGCATCAATCCTACTCTTCTGGCGCTTCTTCCGAGCATGTGCGTACGAGCAACCAGGCAAAGCCCAAGCGGCGCAAGGCTTGCCAGATGTCAGCCGTCTCATGCCGAATTTTTTATTGTGCGCCTGGATCCACAAAGCGCAGTATAAACGAATCCGTTGGCTACATCCAATGGGCTGTTATTGGAAGTGGCTGAAGTGTCCTCTGAGACACCATTTGCCTTCGAGTGCCCGTGACATGGCCTCCAAGTAATCATCGTCCAGATCAAGTGTAGTCTCGCCAGTGCCCTGAATAGCATCGACTCAACGATGCTCTACGCAACCGAGAAATAAAGCTTTACATGCTTGATCAGGTTCCGGATACCGCAAACATATTGGAGAACTTTAGCGAAGCGGCGTTTCAGCTTTTCGGCCTGTCGGATTCGGTTGACATGCATAGAATTTTTGGCGTTACAGAGCGGACATAGAGGACGAAAACTATTGAGATCGGTGACGTGACCGCAAGTTGCGAGTAGACGGCGTAGAGGTCTGGTGTTGCTGAGAGATTCTGCAAGTTGAAGTCTTGAACAATCTTCGTAATTTCGGTCAAAAGATCATGATGCGTTTGCACAGATGATATTGTTTGCCATCATACTTGGAATTATGGTCATCTGTAGAGTGGGGAAACTCTTCCTCAATGGAGGATGAAGGGAAGGGGGGGAATCTTCAGCTTTATCCATCTTCGTAACCCGCTTCACGATGTTCTCTGCGCAACGAGGAAACAAGAAAGGGAATATATCACATGCCTCTGTGTCTCAGGAACAGTAATCACCCCAATCGCCTTTATCGGTGGCATCGACTCTTCGTCAAGAAAAGCCTGAGGCCCTCACGGATGTCGAATGCCGCAGCGAACGCCTCTCCAGGATTGCCGGTCGTCAGTGCGACTGCGATGGTGTCGAGAATGCGAGTAGCAGGTTTGATGTAGCTGGACGGATTCTAGTACCACTTGTTGACACGCATATCGAGATCTGAGTAACCGAGCTGATTGAGCAGTTGAAGCTGCTCCGGAAGACGAGCTTGGCAGCCCAAGATTCCGGACCGGTTTTCCATGATGTTGATGGAAATCTGGCGACTGGTACGTGTCGCCACAGCTTGGAGGCAGGCTAACAATTACAGGGCCTTGCTGATCGTTGTGGTGGCGCAAGTTTGAGCGAGACAACATTGGAATGTGTCCGAGTCAGGCTTCCGGATGGGTCGGGGTTCAACCGGACAGGGTGGTGTTCCAACTTGCTTTCATCCAGTCTCCTTAGCAAGTCTGTGTAGATCAATATGCGGCGAACATCGATGTGTATCCCGGGCGGTTAAGTCCAGCAGGGTCTGCTGGGGAATTTGCTCACTGTGAGAGGGAGGCACTCGACATTAGCACTCCATGCCACCATGGACATCATAGCGTACGACCGTTGTCGATACCACCCAAGCGAAAATGCCCATCACCAAGCGACAGTAGTTCTATATTCGTCAAGTCTTATTCGACAAAAACGTCGAGTCCATTGTTGACGACACCCTCGCCGACGACGACGTTCAGTGTGTATTCACTTGCCGACCACTTCACGGTCTCCTTCGCCACCCTCTCACCGGGCATCCCACGGCACATCCGCGCTCTCGTCTCAACCACCCCAGGAGCCACCACTAGCTACGGACGGAGGCGAGGTCTCCTGTATCTGTGGGTTCACCTGCGATGACGGTTTCTGTATCGCTTGCGACGTCTATTCGTCATGCCACCTGCTTTGGTATGGTTGAGGGACCCGTACAACAAGAATGGCGGTGTTAGGTGTGTCAGGATGGCAGGATCGGCGAGCAGCAGAGAGAGGGAGCCGTTACATAAACCACAGAAGGTCAACGTTGCGAAGACCAACATCCCACCGCAGGATGAGAAGCCGCGACGACCGAGCACTGTTATTGCGCTTTCCACAGATTGTGCAGACCTGTACGCAACCAAGAACAGGAGACGAGCCTCGATCCTGAGTTCAGCGGGTGACCCTCGAGCTCATGCCAACCATCAGCAGCTATCCGCCCAGGTTCGTCAAGCATTTCTCAACCGTGCGTCTCGTTTCCATTCGGATATTCGTGCTAGATTTTCTCTCAACTATTGTCGGTTCCACCTCCAGCTCACTGGCGTATTGCCGACGTTTCCCTGCTAGACGCCTGCCCTCACGCCTTACAAGACGGAAATGCCTTCCCATCAAATATCAGTGCTCGTTCGTTTGTACTTCTGCTCCCACATTGTGTTCATGTTGCATAGAAGAACACGATGTTGTCCGTTTACAAGCCTCTCTGCACTCAGTCTTGGACAAGGTCAGTATATTTCAAGTTTCGCACCACATTTAAGGTCTGTTTAAATACTGACTACCGCGTTGTGTCGCTTACCATTCATCGACGCAAGTCGGAACGGGCGTTGCATATGGACTCAAGCACTTGACCGCGTATTACAATGCTGAGCATGCACTGAGGCTGACGTTCATCTGAATAGACTGCTTAACAGATAAACACGAAGAGGAAGCTAAAGTTAGATACAATAGGTGAGCCTGCTGTGGTACTAGGCCATCTTTCCAAAATGAGTATCATGGTGTACCTCTCATTATCATTGTTATGCTTGGCGGATGTCCGTGTCGGGAAGAAACAAGCGATCTGCCTTCATGTACCGAAGGTCGTAATACTCAAAAGTAGGCCCAGATTTTTTCACTGCACACCTTCTGCCAATGAGAGGTCTTTCGGCCTCCCGGTCAGAGTGGCTGAGGGGTATAGCGGCGGTGCCCGCGAGAGTCTGGTCCTGGCACTAGATCCGTGATATTTTAATACTGGAGGGCCATTGATCATCACTATACGCAGAGGTGCACTTTGGGTACTCTTCAACGACACCTCGAGCAGAAGATCGTATGCGGTCCCTCTCCACAGAATTTGTGTGGCTCCTCAGTGATATACTCTGTACACGTCTGCGTTGTCGCAGCCTGTCGACCGGGAAAGAGAGAGAAAAGGAGAGCACGAAGAACCAGTACTTGCCGCCAGCACATGAACGAGAGAGAGGAAGAGATCGGCGCTCCAGGACTTATCCTCACCCGACGTCACCAATACCTGCTGAGCTGGCGTACTCTGCTCTGTCGATCTCGCGTGAATCCGACCGGCCAACAAGCCCCTCCCAATCTATACGGGATGAGCGACGGCGGAGCATAGCTGCGGTAACACCCCACCATACACCCACGCGCGGTCCAGGCTCTACCAGGCGATGCAGTGTCGCACCCGAGGCCGCTGATCCTGATGGACCAGGCAAGCGGTACACCATTCCCGAGAAGCGACGATTAATGCCAGCCTAACCACCACCACGCGATACGTGGTACCCGGACAAGCCTAGCATCTTTTCAAGGCTCACAGTCTCGGGGTGGATATAGGCGATACGACCACCGCTCGCGCAATGATTAGGTGATTTCAGTAAAGAATCCTTGGATATCGTGACAGGTGCGAATACAGATGCGAGGCAAGATACCCGACTCGTTTATATGAAAGGTTGCGGTGAATGGAGCTTACATTCGGAAGGTTTGTGCGTTATGTGGGATGACACTGAAATGTGACAAGGTTCAGCTGGAAAGAATGGCGTTGGTTTCCTCTACTCACTTTAGCAAGCTTGTGTAGATCTATTCCCCAATAATAAGTTCGAACCCTCTCTGTCGCCAGCCCTCGGCGACCCAAGTGGTCCGTTGTCCCATCGTTTCATCTCCGCAAATAGACCCGTATAATCGTTTACTCGATCACCTATTGTTACAGCGGACAGAGAGCATAATACAATACTCGGAGGTCCTCGACACCGTTTTCGTGGTTTTCGTCAACCAGCATGCCTGTTCCAATTTCGTACATATACTACACTTAAAGCTCCTATCCCAGCATTGCTGCCAGAGCTGAAACTCACTTCCTGACATCTCCTTGGGATCGGAACCACTGTCTGACTCACTCAACTCACTTGATAACAGCGGGGGATTCTTTGAAGTATCATCGACATCGACAACAATTTACACAACACTCGATGCTTTCTTACACTGAAGAAGCATGCTAATCATTCACTTGCCGTTTCCCCGTTCACAACTCATGGTCAAGAAATTGGAAGTTGAATAGCTCCTGGGGAGGGTAACCAGGTGGGGCTGTATCGATCTGCCCGAGGGGACCGATGTGGATCTGAAAGACCAGCATGTCTCAGTCCTCTAGGATATCTTCATAATCGATGTCCCAAAGTTACCTGCTTGCTTTCGCCTTTGACCGGAGCGATCCATCCAATTTCTTCCCGGCTATCAAGTCTCTTGGTGATCCTGTCCATCCATCCATCCACATGGACCCGCGACAAGTTATATGAAGTTGTCAGAATCCAGTGGACCAGAACAAAAGGAGTGAATGCGACGTACGTATAGGCATCGTGAAATTGTCTGTATTTAATCACCCACTCTTGAGCGGGTCTCTCCAGCGCCGCAAACAACCTCCTTTCCAGCTCGATGACTTGCATTCCGTTGATGCTGAGTGTGTATATATCACCTTCGACTCGCCGGAAGACGAACTGCAGCAAGCAGGAGCGTTAGATGATGAAGTATTAGCATTCATCATGCACGTGGGGGGAGGAGGGACGACGATACCTACCACCGGGGGCCGGACACCGGGAGCCCTTTCAATCAAGTTGACTGGTAGGATAGTAGGTAGGAGCAAGGAAATGCCGACGTAGGGGTCGCCTGGGAGAGCTGAGGAGATGATGACCTCGAAATCTGCTTTGATATTGCTGGGCATGCTGACAGTGATGCGTTTGCTCGCAAGATTAGGTGTGGGGAATTGGGGACCCAACAGTCTCAACTCTGGGAGATAGATGATTGCCTCTGGTCAGCGCCCTTTTATTCCGCACGACACGACGCAAAGCACATCACGGCTAGGTGAGAAGTCTTCGAGTTGACGCAATGCCGTGCTTGATTTGGGTGGGCTTCTATTCGGCCTGTCAAGGATCAGGGGAATGCTAACGTAGCAGTTACTCCTGATGCCGCTGAGAGCTAAGAAGGTAACGACCTCGGTATCTGCTTTGATACTGTCGGGCATGCTGACAGTGATGTGTTCACCAGTGGAAAGATTAGGTATGGGGATTTTGGGACCCGACGGCGTCAACTCTGCCAGACGGATGCAGGTCGTTGGTCAACGTCCTGTTATTCTCCATAGCGAGCTGGCGAAATACCACACAGCTAATTGCCTCATTCGAGTGGACTTCTATTCGACATCAGACCACAGGGGGATAACTTGTCAACATCGAGAAGGCCTGGAACCCATTCTTGCAGTTGACTAATCCTGAGGGGCCAAGTTCATTAAACTTTCCCTGTGGCCAGGAATACAACATAGATCATCTGATCTCACGTTTACTCATATGCATCAGGTTCTCTCCTGGATTGTTCGGTACACCGTTTAGGACTGTCCTGGGAATTGACCACTGCCTTGTGTGTAGCACGCAACAGTTGTGCACTTTTTTTTTTCCCAAATGGAGCGCCATATCAATCGATCAGCGTAATCAGCACAATGAACAAGCAAGTGTATATGTGTGTCATGGGGATTCTCTAAAATAAGCCTTCCGTCGCATAAAATCAATAGATGTACCTTCCCGCACTCACCAACCAGACCTTCCATCGTGGCCGTTCACTCTTATCCTCCTCCCGTGCCTTCCGCTCCAGCATATCACGTTGGCGAACTTGCAAACCCTCCCCCCGTTGCCACACCGCATCCGTGTCCAGGTCGACTTTCAAGAGAGGAATGATGTGCTCGCGTTTTCCGAGTATGAACCGTTCGTATACGATGTATCCGACATACAGAACAAGATAAAGTGCAACGCCGATGTACGCCGCGACCACGTTCTGCAGATAATTCGCAAGGGTTAGCGACAACCTCCGCCACGAGGTAATTCATGATAAGTAACTCACCCTAGGACTGAACGGCTGTTCTTTCACAGCAGCATACCCTTCCGCAATGAACATCAGAACTGCAAGGAGGACCACACCAACAGGGAGAACCGGGAAGAGAGGTTGGACGTAGGGCAAGTCAGCCAATGAGCGTCCTTGTGCGTGGTACGCTGCGCGGAAACGCAACGAGATGACACCGATTGAACCCCACACTAATAGTGCGGATATACCCGTCAAGTTCAGCAACCAAGTAAACACCACGCCCTCTCCCCATATAGTCGTTAAAAATGTTAGACAGGCTACACCAAGCGAAATCCTTGATTTATGGCGTAAGAGACCCGCGCCTTATAGTATACACGACTTACAGCAATGCAGGTATAGGAACACCTCGTTTGTTCACCCAACCGAAAACCTTGGGTGCTTGGCCCGACCTGGCCAGTGAGAGTAGCATGCGGGAACTCCCGTAGAATGCAGAGTTCGTCGCAGAGAGAACTGCAGTGAGGAGTACGGCATTGACGATATGAACTGCAGCGCCGAAGCCTGCGCGTTGAAACACGACGGTGATTGGAGACGCCGTAACGTCGGAGTCTGATCAAAGATGAGGTGAGGACCATAACTGTCTGAAGAAACTTAGAAAGCATCGTACTGTAAGCAGATGTTAGAAGAGTAGGATCCTTCCAGTTGATGCAGAGCCCGATAGTCAGAATAGCCAGGATATAAAACAGCACGATTCGAAAGAACGTTGCCTTGATGGCACGCGGGACGGACTTATAGGGTCGATCGGACTCTCCAGCGGCAACAGCGACCAATTCTACACCACCGAACGAATAAAATGCGTACACAAATGTCTGGGCAAAGTTCGAAAACCCCCCGACGAAGGCCTGAGAGTTGTGGAAGTTCGAGAGGCCCTACAAGGTCTGGTCAGACTTCTACCTTGCCTCGCTAGAAGAAAAGAAACAGTATTCACGGGACCTGGATGACCGTTAATTCCACCCCAGTCATAGATCAGACCGACGAGGATGAAAATCACGATCATCAAAACTTTGATCAGAGCGAACCAGTACTCAGATTCCCCTAGTTGCATATTAATTCCGCCTTCCTTGGGTGGCTATCACTGGACCTCACCATAAACACGGACGTGGATCAGTTGCAACGGAAATATAGGAACAATGATTATCAGTGCCCACTGCCAGGGCTGAATTTGAGGCGCCCAAAACTACAGAACTCATCGTGTCGTTAGTATTGGTCACATTTCATGCAAATTCGGTCTCGGAAAACCGAAAACCGGATCAACTTGCTTACCTCCAAGATAATGGCGGCAGCAGTCAATTCGCTCGCTATTAAGTCAAGTGACCCGTAGTTGCATCACTGAGGTGATGTGAGTAGTGGCAATGTACCCACGTATAGACAATGCCCTGTCATGCATCGAAGAGGAAGAAAAGGCCAAACGTCATGGGATTTCTACTACATGCAGGAAAAAAGAGAGGCCACGAACCACTGA